TTCCCAAAACACATTGCTAATCAGTCTGTCGTCATCACTCCGTACCACGTGGCCTGCCCATCTTAATCTATTGGCTTTTATGTATCTTACGATGTTTCCTTTCCCGAAGAGAGTCTCTATTTCATTGTTGTATCTGCTCTTCCATTCATTTGTCACGCTGTCCCTGCAAGGACCATATATAATTCGCAGGATTTTGCGTTCCCATACTAATAGCTTATTGATTTCTTTCTTTCTCAATGTCCATGTTTCACTTCCATATGTCACTGCTGGTCGTATTATGGTTTTGCACATTTGGATTTTAGCACGCCTTGAGAGAAGCTTTGACCTCATTAGATGTTGAATGGCAAATAATGATTTATTCATTATATATTATATATTATCATGATTATAAGTTGTTTACAGCAAAGATACAATGATAACCAGTAATAATTCTCGTTTGGATTTCTTCTTTTATATTTGGCCACCTAGTAAATGCGGCTCCTAGGCCTAGGTATTGTAATCTTTCTACTTCTTCAAATTTATGTTTTCCTTTCAGTGATTATTGTTAGATATTGTCTTTGTATGTATTCTCGTTTTCTCCATTCCATATATTTGATCTTTTCTTCATTTATGTATATCCCTTTCTTTCTCGCTTTTGCTTCGTCTTTTTAGTATTTATTTTAAGCCTTGTTTACTTCTGGCTATCAGTGCTATGTCATCGGTGAATGCTAGGCATTGGTGTTTCCGTTGATATTCAAGTCCTGTCATGCTTATTTCGGCTTCTTTGACGACAATTTTAAGAAGAATACTGAACAAAAATGATGACAGTGCTTATCTTTGTCGCACCCCCTCCATGACTTATCTGTTTCTTTTCAATTTATTTAAGCTTAGTCTCTGTTTTTCTGGATGTCACTTCTATCATTCTTACTAATTTTTCACTAATTCTCATTTCACGTAGTGCCTTGTATATTTCTTTTTATTTTACTGCATCAAAGGCTTGTTTAAAGTCGATGAATGGGGTCATTGTAATCTCGTTAACTTTCCGTTTGTATTTCAGGCAGAAAGAAAATTTAATCTACTGTGCCCAGAAATCTTACATATCTCTGACTGTGTCGCACCCTTTTCTGAATCCATATTGATATTCTTTTATCATTATCTAATTTTTGTGATCATTATCAGGTATCATTATCTAATTTTTGTGATATATTATCTTAGATGACCCTTATATTTGTATTATTCTTTGTTTTCAAGACAATATACCAATGTTTTATTCTTCAAGATGTAAAATAGCTTTAATCTATTTTTGTAATGTTTAATGGGACTTCCAGAAAATGTTATAATCCATTTAATTGAGAATCTTTTGTACTGTTAATTAGCACCAGTCAACAGGTCAAGTACTAACTTAAAAATAATTATAGCAATCAATTGATATTATTTTTAATTAAATCTTTCCGTACAATAAATAAGGTGATAACTTAGATGACCTTATTTCTAGAAGATGTTTTTAACAGGGATAAAAATAAAATTGGAAGATATGTGATTATCATGCTTTATAATTATAAAGAGTAGATATAGAAGAAAGTTACATATATTACATATAACTTACGGCCGAAGTTTTTAAAAGTTTTTAAGGTATATTTTCACATATTTTCATCATCTTTCGTTCATCCTAAATATATTTTCCCTTTTGTTCTTTTTATAAAAGGTCTTTTAATGTGTATAGTTTAAAACAGTCTTTACTTTAATCTTTGTTATCAATTAATTATCAATCTTTTTAATTTTAAAAAATGGCCAAAATTGCGCAATGTTTATTTATTTAACACTTTTATAGAAACTGTCTTCAATTGCGGCAAAATATAAAAATTGAATAAGAACTCTGCACTCTTCATTTTTGAAATGCCGCGTGATTTTTGTCGATGGGACGCTCTGTTCAAAAGATATCGAACTTTTACCGTCGAATTGATTCAAATTTGAATTAAAATTGATTTCGCAGGCGTAACCGCGTCGCTTCAAGCGATATTTTGAGAAAACGGTTTATTTTACACAAAAAGTGCTAATGAACATTTCTGTTCAAAATTGTTTCAGCTACATTTTTTATTTTAAATATTTTTTACGACGCACAGATTCTTGATAAATCAATTTTTTCGGTTTTTTCCATCTTCGGGTGGTGGTTTTAGGGAGAAGCCGGGGAGTAGCAATAGGACACTTTTTTACATATTTTTGGGGTCCAAAATTAACATTCTCAGAATAATTCAATTTGTACATATGATTTTTAGAGGTTCGGTGGCATTTTCGTCTGTGACGACTGGAGTATACATTAATTTATTTATAACAAAACTATGTCATGGCGTCGTCTATTTCGTTCCTCCAGGATCTTCGGGGTCGTCCTCATTTTCTCCTTCCTATGGTGTTCCATTTGGTTATTCTCTTTATCAACCTGCTGTCGCTAGTTCTTCTTACATGTCCATACCACTTTAGTAATTTTTTTCTGTATATGTCAGTATGTCTGTTTCTATTGATGTTCTTTGCTTTATTATGTCATATATGTCATAATAATTCCCACTAATGTTTTATAAATCTGTGTTTTTGTCTTCATATTTTTTAGGTATCTATCCCACCATACTGAGTTAAGTTGTTGGATTGCTGTTCTTGTTCATCCTAATCTTTGCTTAATTTGTTCCTCTGTTGTTACCTTTTTCGTGATTATAAACATTAAGTATTTGAATTTGTCCTTTCCTTTGATTGTTACGTTGCCGTCAATCTGTAGATATTCTATGTCTTCTTCACTTGTAGATAGGTACTCTGTTTTCGAGAGGTTAATATCTACGCCAGCCTTGGTATATTATTCTTGTAGTTTCTTCATCATGTAACTGAGGTCTTCTTGGTCTTGTGCAATCACTACTTGATCGTCTGCAAGACTTAACGTATATAGGTATTCTTTTCGTACCGGTACTTCCATTCCTTCGCATTTTCTTTTCTAGTCAAGGCTTTCTCTAAGTATATTTTGAATAAACTTGGAAATGTGGGACAACCCTGTAGAAGTACTTTTATTGTGGTGAAGTCTCCTATGATTCTTGTTCCCATTTTAATGGACACTTAATTTTCTTTATACAGAGCTTTTGTAGCTCCATATAAAGAGTTCCAGAGTACAGAGTTCCGTCTGTATTTCTAATTTGTACATTGCCTCCTATAGTTCTGACCTATGTACAGAGTCATACGCCTTTCTCAGGTTCACAAATGCCAAATGTATATCTCTATTTTTTGTTTTTTTCTTTTCCAATCCTTTTGTCGCTTGCTCTGTCTTTATTCGTAGTATCTTTCCATATAATCTTCCTATTGATGATATTACGCTTATTCCTCTGTAGTTTTCTACCTCCTTTCTTAAATATAGATATCATATATGCCACCGTCTATTCCTTTAGGAGCTGTTCTCCATTGATGGCTCTCTGAAATATCTATTTTATCATCCGGTATAATTTTTTTTAACCCGTACTTTATAAGCTTACGTAATATGACTCCAGGTCATGGTGCTTTCTTATTTTTGATTGCTTTTATGGCCCTTCTCATTTCCCTATCTGTTATTTCAATTTCTTGTTGTGGGGATCTGCTTCTCTTAAATTTTAAACAACTTTTCTGTAGATACATATGCATGAAATGTGCATAGAATTCAAGTTAAAAAATAAAAAAACTGAACAATTGACTAATTCACCCCTTTCTTAAAGACACACCCCTTTAAATAGTAGCACTCTGGTGTTTTTTCATATTTAGGGGTTCATTTCCCATATGGAACAATAAAACTCATCTAACGTTGTAGTTCCTTTTAACTCTCTTCTTTTTTGAACAGAATCAATAGCCTACAAATTGTATTGCTTCATTTAGTTACAAACGTATCATTGAAAAAACTTCATTCTTTAATTAATATATTGTTAATATAAAATAATAACAAAGAGGACATTACTTTCTTGTGAAAACTGTATAGATATTTATTGCATTAATTTAATTAAATCTATTTTGAGATTTACTACAGTGTTTAATGACTTTTATTGTGATAAATGTATCAATGTCACATTTAAATGTTATCAAGGTAAGCCAGTTATTAAGAAATTTGAAGAGTTCAATGTTTATGGAAAAGACATTATCATAATTATTCTGCGGTTTTTTAAGAATTATTTTTTATTGTGGTTATATAAGCAGCAACGTTTTTAAGTAAGATAATTTACTTGTATAGTCATTTAAAGTAAAAAAAAAACAAATATTTAGGATTCGTTCAGAATTATTGTTGAAACGCGAAAGAATTAAAAATAATTTATATGCATGCCATACGGAATAAACGTTAATAAGTTTAAAACCATAACTTACTACACTACAATACGTGATCTTTCCACACTATTACCCATGTAAGATTTCGCACATTTTTCATCATTAATCCCCTACAGTTCTATCCATTTCTTTCTTTTTCAAGTTTGGCAGTTAGACTTCTTAAATTCTGATAAGAAATCGGAGAGGATGACTCATAAATGTAACGTGATACACTAATGGTACGAGGTGTAAATCAAATATGCCGTTTTCTAATAAGAAAATCAAAATAATATCGATTTACAACATTTTGATATCTATAATATCTTATTCGATATGTTTAATACTACTGCACACTTTAATTATCATGATCTTGTAATTTCAATTTGATGTGATATCTCACTGTTGCTTTCAGCCATCGATATAGCGGAGCTTTTTTTTCTAATGTTTAACCGTTTATTATCGCTATATAGCGCAGCACCTGTAGATGTTTCGCAGAGCATTCAGTGCTCTGCGGAGCACTCTTTGGGATACGATGTTCTAGATCTAGATCATTCACAGTGAAGTGTGGTCCGCTTGGCTATCTGATCCAAGATTTTATTCTAGTCATAAATAAGCCTTTTATCTATTTTAGAAAGAATAATAAATATTTGAATAGACATTCCAACAAGGAAAATTACTTTAATATCAATATAATAAACTCTTTGAACCAATTTTTGTTTCAGGGCAAGGCAAATTCGATGTTGCCTTCTTGGAACCAGCTTTACAATTCTGCACACATTTAATTTATGGGTACGCAGGAATTGACCCAAATACCTACAAAATAAAGCTGCTAAATGAACAGCTAGACCTTAACCAACACAACTTCAGACAAGTTACTGAACTTAAGAGGAAATTCCCTGGTCTTAGAGTTTTCCTTTCGGTTGGTGGTGATAGGGATGTTAGTGGAGAAGAAAATGAGAAAAATATAGTTTACAGGAATGTGGTAAGTAATTTTTGGTTTTGATATTGTCTAAAAAATAATTTTTTATTGGTAAAAGTAATTAACTTTTATCGATAGAAAACGATTGGTAAAATTGGTAAGTTCACTTTAATATTGATTTACTATTACTTTTTACTTCTTTGTTATCATACGTTAGGTCTATGACCTGCATTTACTGAGTAATATTTAGTCTTATTTGTAATTCCTAAGAACAGCTGTCAGATCTTTGGTGGTCTTCCTTGGAGCTTTCTTCCGTTTGATTTTCTATCCCTTAAAAACTTTTGCTGTTCTATCTTCTCTTAATCTTATTACGTATTGATTCCAATTTCTTCTTTGTTCGCTTACTCATCTTACTACATCTTGGATATCGCATGTTTGCCTGATGTTTTCGTTTCTTACCCGGTTTTGCAGTCCTTCGGATCTAATAAACGACTCTTCATTCATACCATGAAGCGGATTTTACTTAGTAACAAGGTGTTGAATCAACACTACACAAAAGGATTATAATGTTAATAAGCTTACATATATATGCCAAAACTTATTTATGGTCTAATTCTGTATGGTCTTGTGATTGATGTGGCTATTTCCCAATTTGTCGACCTTGGTCTAGTGTGCCTTTGGTCTATGTTGGTTTGCCTATCTGTATCATCCAGAATTGTTGAGCCCGGAAAGTGCATGTTTATCAGTCCTCTAAGACTTTCCTCTTTGGTGTCCGTAACTTTGCCATTAGCTTTCTTTAGAAAATCTACTTCTTTCGTTATAGCACCAGCCTTTGCCAGGACTTTATGGATTCGAGAACATGCCGGGATATCTGTAACCTCCTCGCAAAACTCTCCTTTGAATGAATTCCTTTTAGCTTTCCGAATTTCTCTATTGTATAGCGTTAGCTTATACCTGTAGGCATCCCAATTTGGGTTACTTTTTGGGATCTGTAGAAATCTAACTCCAATCATTTCAGCAGATAATGCTTTAGTATTTAAATTTAACATCATTACCTCAATTTATAGTTGCTTTGAAAATATAATAAATATTTTTCTTGCAGTTAGAAGCAGTTGACCGTAGATTAACTTTCATTAACTCTGCCAAAGATCTAATCAAAAATTACGGATTCGATGGAATTGATCTTGCATGGGAAATGCCAAGAACTAAACCAAAGAAGATTTTCGGAGCTGTTAGTAAGTATTTTCTTCATATTAATTACATTCGTTTAGAGTCGTAATAAAGTTTAATTATTTCATCAATTTAATTTCCAGAAAACTTTTTCGTCGGATTAAAAAGGAAAATAGTTGGTTCCTCAGTTGTAGACGATAAAGCAGATGAACATAGAGAACAGTTTACTGCCTTCATTAGAGAATTTAAAAATGCTCTTCGTCATGATGGATTCTGGTTGACTCTTTCTGTTCTACCCAACGTTAATAGCACAGGTAATACACATAAATTCAAGTTTTATTACTTATTTTAAAAATATAATAATATTGCTTTACAGTTTATTACGACCCTCGTGCATTGGCTCCACATTTGGATTTCGTTACCCTTCAAAATTTCGATTTTTACACTTACGAACGTAATCCCAAAGAAGCAGATTACTCATCTCCGTTATACAAAATTTTTGACAGGAAAGATGATGAAAATGGTGACTACCAAGTTATGTATTGGTAAGTATTAATTTGTTCTGTTCTCAAATATCTGATAAACTTATTTAACTTTATTTTCGTTTAGAAGAAAAATAGTATTCATAAAATTTTGTGGTATGTGCAGAGTATTGCTCAGAAATATAAGATGCCCCTATCCGTTATTCTCAAGTTTTGGGAATATAATCCAGGTTTAAGTATCTTGTACTTCTTCTTACTATTCTAACTTAGAATAAACTATAACACGTAGTAGTTTTAGACCTTTTGTTATTTATTCCCAAGAAAATGTGGTACCTTATCAACAGTAATTTTTAATCTTTAATTTAAGTTTGGAAGCTCTTATTAGAATATTGGTTATTATTGGCTGTATAAATACAATATCTTCTTAAATATGTCCATTTGCGGATGATATTAACATAATAAGTCGTAACAAAAGGTTATTGATCGAAAAAACTGTAGACTTGAAACGAGAAATCCCCAAATTTGACCTAAACATTATTAACAGTAGAAAACAAATATGTAGAGTGCACAAAATAGGATCGACATAAGAACCAAGATACAAAGAATTACATTTATGAATATGCCTCCAGCTTTTTCTACCTGGGCACAATATTAAATCACAAAAACGTCAATCAAGAAATATAAGTAAGGATTCTTAGCAGTAATAACTGCTTTTATACTTATAAAGACATCTATCTATCCTATGGCTCTACAGCGCAATTCGAGCCCTGGTCTTCCTCAACAAACATCTCCATTCATTACGGTCTGTAACCATTTTCCTTTACAATCGATTGCAAAGAAAATTTCTGGTGTCCTCATTCACATTATCCTTTCATCGCTTTCTCGGTCTTCCAATAGGTCTCGTCCACTGCATTCTTGTATTCAGCAGTTTTTTTGAAAGCCTGTTAACTTCAGGTTGAGAACAGAAATGCAATGTTTATAAATCCTATTTTGGATTCTACCACTTTTATTCCTATATAGGATCAGGGGCAGTCTGCACAAAGAATTTCATAAATTCCTTGTTGTTCATTTGGAATGTTCATTTGGAATTCCTGTAATAGTACTAATCTTAGCTCTAGATTTAATTGTACTAACCATGGAAACCTTTCGGAACAAGATTTATATGCGGTTTACAGTTTTGTGAGTCAATACGCACTATGGAAGTTTCACATCCATAGCTTACTATCGGTCTGGCTTTGACTAACAAAGACCTTATGAAAAGTAAATTGTTAAATTGTGAGTCTAAGCTAAGAATGTAAAAAACAGTGGTAACGTATGGATGCGAAACGTGGACTTTTTCAAGCGCTGACGAATATCATAATATCAATTGAGAATATTTAGGCGAAAATTTTAAGAAAAATATTTGGATATACAAAGTTTTATGAACCTAACTTACTCACTTGGTGAGGCCAATCTACGAACGAAACTATGAAATCCCATATTATTGAAAATATTTATTTGTCTGTAGTGCGTTCTCATAGCAAGACAGAGTCAACCTAGTTTTTGCATTAGTAAAAACGTTGGAGTATATTGTTTTTCTTCTAACAGTCCCAAGAAATCCTCAAGAGATAGAACAAGAGAAAGACTCCATAAACGATGGATCGACGATCTAGAGGAGGACCTTAAAACCGTGAATATCAGGCAGTGAAAACAAAAAGTAAACTATAAGGTAGAATGGAAGAATATTTTCAAGCAGGCCAAAACTCATAAAGAGTTGTAGCGCTAGGAGAAAAAGGAGATGTAAGATTAACCTTTTAACTTTAGACTCTTTAGACTTTAGACAAAGGAAAATTTTTATACAAGAAAATGCGAGGAAATCGAAGAACTACATCTCAAACATGACACTTTTAACTTACATAAAAAGATAAAGGAACTGACAGGTACACAAAAACGAAAACATCCCAATATCCTATGCAACGCAAATGGTGAAATAATAGCCGATCTACAAGAAAAGCTTAGGACCTGGAAGAACTATGTCGAAGAAGTGTTCGACGATGAAAGACAAGAACCTAATATAGATAACTTGCAAGGCGACGAAGGACCAGAAATAACTAAAGAAGAACTATTATACGCTATAAAAATAATGAAAAATGGTAAATCACCGGGTCCAGACAGGCTCACATCAGAACTTCTTAAGCTTGTGGAAGGCGAATCAGTGAATATTCTACTCGACCTTTTTAACTGCATCTACAAAAGAGGAGAAATACCAAAGGAATGGCTACTTTCAACTTTTGTAACCTTACCAAAAAAGGCAAATGCAAAACAGTGCACTGACTACCGCACTATAAGCTTAATGGGGCATACATTAAAAGTATTCATCAAAGTAATCCACTCAAGAATTAACAGAAAACTAGATGCAGATATTAGTAATACTCAATTCGGATTTCGGAACGGGCTTGGAACAAGAGAAGCACGATTTGCACTTAACGTCATATGCCAAAGATGTCTAGATATAAACCAAGATATATATATATATATGTGCTTTATTGATTACAACAAAGCGTTTGATAAAGTTCGTCACGATCACTTAATGAAACTGCTAGTAGAAAAAAACTTGGATAAAAGGGGCATTAGAATTATCTCTAAGATTTACTATAACCAGAAAGCAAATATCCGAATAGAGCAAGAGACAACGGAGGAAATCAAGATAAAGAAAGGCGTAAGACAGGGTTGTATACTCTCACCGACCTTATTCAATCTACACTCCGAAGACATTATAAACACAGCACTTTCGGATCAAAATATAGGTATTAAGATAAATGGCATCCGAATAAACAACTTGAGATATGCCGATGACACGGTACTAATCGCAGAAACTTGGGAAGATCTTCAAATACTAATTAACAAAATAGTAGAATGCAGTGAAGAACACGGATTATCACTTAACATAAGCAAAACAAAAATAATGCTAATATCTAAAAAACTACAAAACTTCCCTGACATAACCGTGCATGATCAAAGAATCGAACGTGTAAGAAGATATAATTACCTGGGAACTGTTATCAACGAAAATAATGATTGCTCTGAAGAAATCAGAACCAGAATAGAGAAAGGTAGAGCCACATTTACTAAATTGAAAAAGGTGTTCTGCGGAAGAGATCTAAGTCTAAAAATAAAAATTCGCCTTTTGAGATGTTACGTTATGTCAGTTCTCCTCTACGGGATGGAAACATGGACATTGAAAAAGGTCGATACCAAAAAGATAGAAGCATTTGAGTTGTGGATGTATCGTAGAATATTAAGAATACCCTGGACAGAGAAAGTAACAAATGTGGAGGTTTTGCGGAGAGTGCGGAAAGATAAAGAGCTGATACTTACTGTTAAAAAGCGCAAACTACAATATTTGGGACATGTTATGAGGGGAGATAAATACCAGTTTCTGCAATTGATTATACAGGGAAAGATAATGGGAAAGAGATCTATAGGAAGAAGAAGGCATTCATGGTTGAAAAACTTGAGAGAATGGTACAATTGCACCAATTACCAACTGTTTAGATCTGCAGCATCAAAAATACGCATAGCTTTGATGATAGCCAAACTTCGGAACGAAGACGGCACTTGAAGAAGAAGAAGAACTTTAGACTGCCCATCTAGGACTGGAGAAGGCTAGAATTAAAGTATAATTTTAAATCGTTTTTAGTTGTTTGTTCTGTTGTTTATTAATTTTTTATCAAAATTTTGGATTAGTATCTTACTTCTTAATGTGTTCTCTTTGACTGATAACTTAATTGAAGTGAGTAAAACGCAACTTAAGTACATGTTTTGTTTAGGCTCAACAACGGTATGCCAGCCAACAAAATACTTTACGGTATCCGCACCTTCGGTCGCAGCTGGAAAATGACTGATGCGTCTGGTTTAACTGGAGTACCCCCACTAACTATCGAAGAGGCTCCCGGTGAAGCTGGTCCTTACACTCAAGAACCAGGCTTACTTAGCTACAACGAAGTCTGTACCAAAATTGCAAATCCAACCGAAATCAAAGCAGGCTACGTAGGAAAGCTTAGGAAAGTCAATGACCCCACCAAGAGAATGGGTAAGTTTTAATTTATTTAATTCACGGGGATGCACTAAAAGAAAAGGACAATTTGCGCTTAAAAAGAACTTATTGATCTTTTATTTGTTGGTTTGTTAAATCGTTCACAATATACAGTATAAAGCAAAACTATGGAATAAATTCATTATTTTTAGAAACAGAATACTTCTCAAAATACGTCAATTTAAATTTTTGAATGGTCATTAATTGCTATTCTCCTCTATCTTTTCTCCTTAGTCAGGATGTAGTGGTGGCATATAATTTGTTTGACTTTCGATAATTTGGCGAATATTAAGAACATGTTCTCTTGTTAATCTACCTGGGACGAATCCGCATTGTTCTTGGGGAATTTGTGTTAAGAGGATTGATTTTCGTCTTTCATTGATGATGGTTAGAGGTACTTTGCTCGCGTGTGATATCAATGCTACTGTACGGTAATTGGTATATACGTGTCATAATATTACGTCATCAGTGTTGGCGTAATGACGCAATCAACGATTTTTTAAATACAGAACGAGATTGCTAGGGAAATGTCATAAAATATATGAAAATAATATTTTTCGTTTAGTACATTAACCCATCAAATCAAAAAGTATTGTCTAGGTTGCCACTTCGAAGGCTCTGACTTCACGATAAGTCGTAGTCTGTTAAGTACAGCTCCTCTGCACCTACTCAGTCGAAATCGACTTCAAACTGTAGATGCCGTGTGCATATTCGCCGATCCCATAACGTACGGCATAGGAAAATAAATACGAATCTCTGATTGGTCCTAATTTAAATGCCGTCCTAAATAAAAATATATATATATATATATATATATATATATATATATATATATATATAAAATATGTTTTATTTTTTCGCTAGTTAGTATCAACAAAAATTCTTTTCCGCAAATCGCCAGGAAATTTTGACATTTCTGTCAAAATTTCTTGAAGAAAAAGTCAGGACTTCCTTACTGTAAGGAAATGATATTTCCGTACAGTTGTTAGTGTTCTACATAAATGATAGAAAACACATTGCTTATAAGGAATTAATTTATATTTTGAAAACATCAAGTCATTGCTGAATACATTTTTAAGATCAATTTGTTATATTTACAGTAATTTGACAGTTAGTACAATTATTGAACATTGGAGGAACACTCTTAGAACTATGAGAAACATTTTGGACAACATGCAGGGTGGAAGTGTCATTTTGTTGAATATTTTGTACTGTGAAAATTTTATTTGCCACCTCAACCTTATTGTTAAGCGATTCTTCGATATATCTTACAGCAACGTTTGATGACTTCCATCCGCCATGCCTCTTTAAACTAGTTATGTCGGCACCAGAGTCAACCAATATTGTTGCAGAAGACCGACGAAAGCAGTGACCAGTATATTCTGTCGGATTTACCAAGTTCAAATAAGTAGCAATTATTTTGGGCATTTTTCTAAATTGATGAATTCCTACCACTTGTCTACAACCCTTTCCGCTTTGATATTTAAAGAAAAATCGGTCACTGTTCATATTTTCTGGTCTTAACGAAACATACTTTCGATAAACATTCAAGTAGATCTGATTAATTACAAATGATCTTGGTTTGTTGGTTTTCGAATCAGGTATGCTGATTAAAAGCTTAGATTCTAAGTCTTCTATATCGTGTACAGTCATTCGGACTAACTCATCCATTCTACAGGCCCCAGAAATACCAAATATTACAGCCACCTAAAAAATACATAAAGCTATAATCTAAATAGAAATTAAAACCTTGTAAATTACCTTAATCATTAAATTTTCTTTATCTGGAGCTTCCTGGATAAATTTTTCAATTTCTTCCTTTGTTAAAATCTTAGATTTCTTTGCCCTATAACCTTGAGCTTGCCGTTTCAATAAAGAACGAAGTTTTGAGTATGCAGATATATCTACATTGTGTTTAAGTGCAAGGGTTGACTTCAGCATTGAATAATTGGCCCATAATGTTGAAGATTTCATCTTTAAACAAAGGTCTAGGAAGTATGCCATTACAACATTTTCTGAGAAAGAACTCGTATTTTTACTCATGCGATAATCCATAAAACGTCTGTACGCATTTTCGTACCTTTCTCTTGATTTCTTTGGCAATAATTCTAATGAAGCAGTATTCACTGCCTCAACCAGCTCTGGAGGAATCCCAGGAATGGAAATTTCATCATCACTTATCATTTTACTTTCGAGAACACCAGCAATTAAATTTATAAGCGTTAAGTTTGACAATTTAACCTCAATACGTTTCCATAGTAACCCAAGTAATTTTATTAGGAATTTCAAAGCACCATTTATTTGGGAATAAAATTATCGCGTTTTTTTTTTTAAATCAATCAATATCTGTCGAATTTTAAACGATTTGCGGAAAAATAGTATGTTTACCTCGTAGGAAAAGCCACATTCCTGGACTCTGTGTTGCTAAGTCTCGGCTTGCGCCTCGACTTAGCAATCTTCACAGTCGTCCAGGAATGTTAAGCTTTTCCTACCCGGTAAACAATGTACTATTATTCTTTATATATTATCCTAAATGGGGTGTTTAATATGTTCCGTGTATTTGCAGTGTAGCGCTGTCTGTACTGTAGGCATCAGAGACTTGTGATTTGCGCAATTCTATGCTCCTTTTTTTAATAAACTAAAGTTGTCAAAATCCAAAAATTTTCTAGTTTTCTTCAATTTTACTAACTAGGCGAAATTGATTTTTTTTGTTCTTGGAACCAAGGGGTTGGTTCATCGAGCAATAAGACAAAAGAGGGAATCTAATCGTTATGAAAAGGAGACCAAAAAAGTGGCCTCTGATGGCGGACATATCCGGAAATGCAAATGCGCCAAATTTAAATTTCATGACACTTGACAATCGTCATACAGTGGTGTAGGGGTTCTAATTTATCTATTTATTTATTTTATATTACATAATATTTTATATTATATATTTATCTATTTTTTTATTAAAATTATTTATTAAAATACTTTTTTTAACACTATAATAGTCTAAAATGTTAAAAAAATTTAATAGAAAATATAAATATAAGCTTTCATGTGACAGTTTTGACAAACAATAACATCAACAATAACATAACCCAACTAAATTTGATTTCTTAAACAAGAAAAGAGATTCTCTATCCTTGTTTAAAGTGGCCTCTCAAAATAGCACTTCCTGTCTATCAATATGTTTATCCCCACTACCTTTACATTCCCTCTTTTGTCTTATTGCTCGATGGGTTGGTTGTACTTATTTTCTAACTTTTTCTAAAAAAAAACATGTATGCACTTTTCCCGTAAAATACAGTGGTTAAGATAACTATATTTTTCCAAAGTTGATATTTTTTGGTATAAAAAAATGGCCAAACTAACAAAAGCAGTATTATACATTACACATGATTAGTCTCGAGTTAGTATCAGACAGTTTGTTAAAAATAAATATCGTATTTTCTTCAAATTGCTCCGTTTATCAAAAAATATCATATTTGGAAAAAATCTAACCCATACCACTGAATTCTACGAAAAAAACTGTACAACTGAAAGATTTAAAAAAAAAATGCCCATTAGAAATCTAGAAACGACTTACTGGGATATGGCCAAATTTTATTTGGTGCCAAATCATAATATCCCCTTCCCGTTCGAATATTTATCACCAATCCCAGGGCCGTATTTACTTGCCCATTCTATACGTAATGAGATGGGTGAATATGCGTGTACCGTATATCTGTGTACACTTATTGATACACAGCAGATATGTAGAAGGGCGACCTATGCTAAAAATTGCACATTAAGATGTTTTGTATTTTTAGTGCATCCCTTTTTTTAAACGTGCATGGGTGTAAGATGCTAATATTTATTTGCAGAAATTGAGTATTGGAATACTACTGATGTATCAAAACGTTTTGGTAGGTAAATTTTAAATTTTTCAAAATTGTGTTTTAATATATTTGGCACAGTATAAATATCGCACATGATTGTTAATTATGTTGGAGACATGCAAAATATGAAAATTTGCTTTTATGCAAATATCTAAAATATTATTATCATCTTATTTTAGAGATTTTTTTGCAAATGTCTAAATTATCTAGAAATATATTCCTGACATACATATATATAATTACTTAATTACAATATCTAGCTAGTTAGCAATTTATTCTAATCGATTATAATAACCATGCATGATGTTCTATTTAACGTCTAAAAAATCCTTTGCAACCCTCTCGACTAAAGTAAGTCCATTTCATAACCCGTTCATTTGGAAAGCAATACCACCTCATTTGGCCCTTAAAATTCGTAAACGTGCAATACAATCGGGTAACATTGGATCGACAAAATCATACTTATCGCAGCGGCTTATGTTGCATTAAAAGAAAATTTAAAGAAAAAAAAGATTGTGTGTTTGACCCTACCTGAACAGGAATGCAATTTTAGATACCATAAGCCTAGAAGTAAATAACTTGTAAACTAACGTCAGTTTCAGCTTACAAGTGAAGCAGTAACATCTCCAGAAGAATAGCCCGAATAAACCGTTTAACAAGTTTCCTTATTAGGTCTGCCGTAAATTTTGGCGAATGTTCTGTAATAAACTGTTTCGCCTATCTTTATCCTGGTGAATTCCTCCACCATTTCATAGATTTGTGAGCTACCCACTACCCAATTCCAATTAATGGCATTGATGCGCCTTGCTTTGCCATTTCATCTGCTTTTTCATCGCCCTTATGACCTTAGTGCCCCGGTGCCCAGGCTACCGTAACCTTTCTACGTTTTCCTAGTTTATTTAGGGCATACACCTAATCCCATACTAGTAGAATTGGCATCTAGAGAATTGAGTGCCTTAAGCGCTCTCTGAGTATCTGTAAAGATGGCAACTGAACGGCAAACGAACACTGTCACATTCTTGGATAGACTTACCGGAAAATATCCGTTGATTTGTCACTACTATGCCGGTCTGCACATCCTCTGATGTTTTTGAGCCATCCGTGTATCACGTAGCAGCAGCTTGTATGGGTACACCTTCATTATAGTCTTCCCTGACTAGTATCTTAATTGTGAACTTATTATTAAAGCTGTATCTTGTAATGTGAGTTTTATATATTATTGTTTCAGCAAATATGTTGAGGAGTGGATACTTTAGACACACTGCATGATTTACAAGATTTTTATTTTTTATATAAATAAAATTTACTTGTTTTATTGTAACCTGCATGGTCATATACAATTACCTTCTAAAGAGTTATTAATAGAACTTAATAGTTTTACTAACATACCCAAAAGTATATTCAAAAGTGTATTCAAAATTTTAATGTCATAATTCAGTATAGTCCAGGGCTGGACTGGCTCAAAAAGGCGTCAACCTTAACTCTAAACGAAAGGCGCCAGGCCATTTCTCTAAAGCTTGTTAAATCAAACTTTTTTGAAATCCTAATGCATGTAAAGTAACAATATATGTATTCCACATATAACCCTTTATTGGTGATTTCATATGTCGATTCAACATTTTCAATATTTACTTAAACACTTTTGTTGTTATTTACATTTATTTTTTTTTAAGATTTCTAATTCCTTATTTACATTTTCAACAGGAACTTATGCTTTCCGTGAACCAAAGAACGGCCAAGAAGGTATCTGGGTATCTTTCGAAGACCCCGACACAGCTGGCCAAATCGCTAGCTACGTCAAAGCCAAAGGAATTGGTGGAATTTCCCTATTAGATTTAACCTTGGACGATTTTCGTGGACTGTGCACTGGGGACAAGTATCCAATTTTGAGAGCAGCTAAATTTAGGTTGTAATAGTTTTGTTAAGATGATTTACACATTACTGACGAGATTGTTGATCAAATATTTATGTGAGCTTGTTGATATTTTCTATTAAATAAATTAGTGCCTACACAACATATGATGGTATTATTTTCAATATTTTTTATTTCCAGATTAAAAATAAACTTAAAAATAGCTTTCAATAGTGTTGAGAAAATCTCGATAAAAACAAAAAAATCAGGAATTAAAGCCTTCACTCAAAAATTAGATACCAAAAATGCTCTAAGTATATAAAATACTGCATAACGAAGCCCTTGAATATGAAGAAACAGTATTTTGAACAGATTCGACCCACTCAACGAATGACAATGTTAATAAAACATACTCGCTACAGATGATTATCAGTGTAGTGTAGATCCATTATGGGAAGACAGATACAGTAAAAAAAATGTACCCAAAACTATTCAAAAGGATCTTAAATTTTAAAGAACCTTATATGCGAGAATTTTAAGGAAATTCTAACTGAATATCAAAGTTGATCGAGACCAAGAACGAAAACAAGAGATTAGATAATATTATTAACACAGATTCTTAAAAAACCAAATACCGACATGACAAAGTACCGTATGAAGAAGTGACACGAAATAATACGGTATAAAGCAATGCAACAGTACGGAATTTGATATCATTGATGATTTGATGATGGTAAAGACGACAATGTCAAAAGTCTTCTTTTTCTTCTTTCTTCTTAGTTCAAGTGAGATATGTTAATCTCTGGCATTTGGCCATTCTAGGTAAGGTGCAAAGATCAAGATCTTTTGTGTAACAATAAAACACTGAAAACTTTGTTTTCAAACTTCCACAAAATTTATTTTAACTCTTATCACTACAGCTGTTTCGGCTGATTGCTTTTCTCAAGTGATCTATTTTTGGCATGCGCTTACAATTTAGTTTCTAATGAAATAGCTTGAGGAGGGGAGAACTGATTGTCTCAAGTTGGTCATTCAGAATTATATCTTTGTTTTTTAATTTGTTGATTTCCATAGATTCTAACAAAGATAGCTTAAGGTCTTTATTTTGAATGTGAACAATTTTAAATTGGTCATTAAAAGAATGATTATGATCTAGAAGGTGAAGTGCGTATACCAAATCTGTTTTTCTATTATTGAAAGCCCTTTTATGTTCTGCTATTCGTTTATTAAAGTTTCGGTCGAATCAAGTAACGGTCGAATCCATCAATTATTTATCAAGATCTTTGTACCTTACTCTGTTTTTTTTTCATTAAACTTGAATAAGTACTATGGCCTAAACGAAAGCCAACAATTTCCTCATTAGTAGTTTTAGGATCTCTTCTGGTGCAATCCTCAGTTGACCAGTGAATTCCTGTCCCATATCACCTAGCACATTACAATGGCATCTGATGCGTATAACAGTCTCTTCTTCCATTTCAAAATTTCTGCACCATAACTCATTCACCTTACCTATTTTGTATAGGTGTTTTCTTTAACAACAATGCCCAGTCATCATTTCGGTGACCGTTTTAATCTCTCGCTTATTGAGATTCATCAAATTGTCCGACAGTTTTTTATCGATATTTTTTATTATTTTCCTAATCTGAATTTTCCTTCAAGTGGCTCTCCATTTCTTTTGATATTTCCTTATCAGCCATTTTTGAAACTCGTCTTGCAACATCTTTAGTTATAATAAACCATGGTCCTAGACCTATAAAGGCTTCTCTCGGACCTTGCTTTTCCAACAAATCTGCTCGTTTACTTTCAATCTCAGGATAATCATAAAGACTACCACCGAAATGTATAATTCTAGCGGGGAAACCTGTAATACCCGCTTAAGGTGCCGTTTCTGGACTATGCAAGGCTCTTGTCATATTTAGAAGCACTTGTATCTATATGGTTGTGAAAAAGTTCGCACAAGATTTTAAAGCCATCTTTTCCCACCAAAGTACTCAACCATATGTAATTTTTGGTCGTATTGCTAATGTGTATAAACAACATATTACCTTTCAATTAAGTTTAGAATCTAACGTTACTCCTAGATACTTGGTTATATTATTAATATAAATGCTCCTTTTGAGAGCTCCTATTTAGAATAGAGGGTTACCCCTAGATACTTGACTTCATCGGTTTTTCCAGTTCCTTTCCAAATAATTTCAGTTCACTCAGTCTAGTAAGCTTCTTCGTAATCGTAAAGGCTACTAATTTATATTAAGAAGGATTTACAGAGAGATTCTCTGTCAAACACCAACTCTCTATATAATGAAGTGCATATTACATCTGATCCGCTACAGTGCTGGGAAATTTGCCCCTAGTCACTATTAAAACATCGTCTTTGAAAGCCTGGATCCATATTTTTTTAATCAGCCATTAAAGACTATATTTCGTAATGTCAATGACAATACGCCCCCTTGAGGGCACGTCTCGGTTATTTTCAAATCTATTGCACTTTCATACGTATCTGTATATATTATTCTGCTCTGAAGCATCTACCTAATCCACTCGCATATTGTGCTGTTGATTTCCTTCCGCATCCGAGCACTATATATTGACTCGATAGAGGTATTATCAAATGCACCTTCGATGTCTAGAAATGCAGCAAGGACGACTTCTTTCTGGTGTAAACTCCTTTCGCGTTCCGACACCAGATTGTGTAGGGTGGCTTCAACTGATTTACCTGCGTGATACGCCTATTATCGTTGGTACAGTGTGTAATCTGTTTTTCCTGGTTTAGGAATAAACGTCACTCTCGCTCTTCTCCAAGCTTTGAGAATGTACCGCAGAGTATGGCTACCTTTAAATATTTGCATCAGGGGACACATTATTATTTTCTATTTTTACAGTAGCGTGGAATGCCAAAACCAATCAATGCATGAGTTTGGTATACCAGAGAAACTTATCCGACTAACGAGAATGAGAATGTCTAACTTAGAAGAAGGATGGACTCAGACAAGGAGATGCTCTGGCTTGCCTCCTATTTAATATTGCTTTAGAAAAGGCAGTCCGAGATACACGAATTAGGGATGGCGGTACTATTTACAATAGATCGATACAAGTCTTAGCATATGCTGATGACATTGACATAGTAGGGCGTAGCAAGCGAGATTTTGCGCAATATCTCCTAGAATTGGAAACAGCGGCGAAACAGGTCGGTCTAGTCATCAACGAAGACAAAACCAAGTACATGTTGGTTACAAAGGATCCGATAGCAAATGAGGAACAAGAAACAGTCTTTGGAAGTCATACCTTTGGACGTGTTGACAACTTCACATACCTTGGCTCGCTATTGACTGCTACCAATAAAACAAATGACGGTATAAAAGTCGGAGATGCCACACTGGACAGAGTAGAGAAACTCGTGTATCTCGGCAGTAATATCAATGAGAGCTAGGATCCAACCGCAGAAATTAAAAGCCGAATAGAACAAGCCCGAGCTGCCTTTGTAAAAATGAGAAACGTACTTTGCAGTCATGATCTTAGCATTGACCTTAGAGTTCGTATGATATCTTGCTACATCTTTTCTGTCCTGCTGTATGGAGTAGAAGCGTGGACCCTAACTGAGGCTATGCTTAAACGCTTGACAGCCTTTGAGATGTGGGTATACAGACGACTACTAAAAATAAGCTGGATCGACAGAGTTAGAAATGAGGAGGTCCTTAGACGGCTAAACCAAACAACACAACTGGTCAATATAATAAAGAAACGCAAGCTGGAATACTTCGGTTATATTATGAGACACCCTGAAAAATATGATCTTTTACATCTGATCATTCAGGGAAAGATCCAAGGTAATCGTGGTCCTGGTAGAAGAAGAACATCATGGCTGAAAAATCTAAGGCAATGGTATGGAAAATCAACTACATCGTTATTTAGAGCTGCTGTCAATAAAGTCACGATAGCGAATATGGTAGCCAACATGATATCCAACGATCGATAACGGTCATGGAACTGGAAGAAGAATAAAACAAGCAAAGAAATCAAAAGACGAATAAATCTTACAAAGAGGGCATACTATGGACTCAAAAAGCATTTCCACTCAAGAAATATTCAAAGAAAAACTAAAATTATTATATACAAAACATTGCTGAGGCCGGTACTCACATATGGAGCAGAAACATGGACTTTAACGCAGAAAGATGAAAGACTTTTGGGAATATTTGAGCGTAAAATACTCCGACACATAATACGAATGCCAGAAAATACCATTGCTAAAAAGCTAACCACAGGAACACCTGTAGGAAAAAAAGCAAAGGCCGACCGCGAATTAGGTGGTTAGATGGAGTAGAAACCGACTTACGAATATTAAAAATCAGAAGATGCCAACAAAGATGATGATGATGGAATGCCAAAACTATCAGTAGACTAAAAATTCAAAGTAGCTACTCTGAATCATTCAACACAGGATGAAAAATGAGTTAAGAGGATGTTCTGGCATATCAACATTTTAGTTTTGTTGAACATAACTAAACAACTGAGGTACAATATTTAATAAATCAAGCCAAATTGGTCTATGCAGATGATCCAGATTTTGTCAAACATTCAACTAACTACACCCAAAAAGGTTTTTTATTCTCATTTTTCAATGCAGTAGACAATATGGGTTTGTTGTATACATATTTTTGAAGCCAACTTTTATACTGGCATCGTATTAATTTTTCTCTATAGTAAAATGCAGAGCAGATCGTCACGACACGAACTATTTCCCATGTTCTAATATTACTAGAACTACTGTTATACTGCTGCATCATTAGCGACAATCTATGTCTTTGAAAATTATTATTGCTAAATTATGACTGTTATGTAATCTATCCACTATCATCTTTGTCTTTGATTTATTTCGTTTTGAACCAGTTGTATGAGATCAATTAACTCTTCTTGACTATTTGTAAGAAGGGCTGTATTATCTGCAAAACGTAAGTTACTTATTTTTACATATAGTATACATCCTTGTCTGACAGCTTGTTCTGGATATAATTCATTTGAGAGTGTATCAAACACTTTAACTGTTCCAGTAGTGCATTCGTATAGTTTAGTTATAAGCAAAATTAAATGTTGTGGTATACCGACTTCTTTTAGTATCTGCCATAAGTGTTGCTATTTGGCCCTGTCGATAATGATCTTTGCGAGAATCTATAAAATAAATGTATAGTGGGATGTTGAATTCCCTAGATTCTTCTATTATTTGTCTTATATTCAGAAGGTGTTCTCGAGTTTCTCTGTCGCTACCTTTGGTAAATCCAGTTTGCTCTTGGGGTATTTCTCTTTGTAAAAAAGGTTTCAGTCTCTCATTGATTATGTGTAGCATTATTTTGTTGGCAAGTGAGATAAGGCAGATGGTTCTATAGTTGTGGCATTTATGGAAGCAGGCTTGTTTATGTATTGTTTATATTGTAGTTTTTGTCCAGTCGTCAAGCCATTGCGTGGAATGTCATATTTTGTTACAGAGCAAGTGAAATAATTTTATTCCAGTTTCGTCTGTGGCTTTCAGTACTTTTTATTTGATCACATCTGGACCTAGCGCTTTGTTATACTTGTGTTTACTGATCGCCAGTATTATTTTCTCAGGGGTTTGGTAAACAAGTATCTGGCGCTAATGATCTTTATATAGATCCGCGCAATATAATCTCCAAGTCACTGCTATATCCTACCTCTTATTCTCATGGTTCCTGTATGGTCCTCAATGATATAAGTTCTGGCTTTAAAGGCTCTTGTTATGTAGCGTGTTTTTTTAAATAGATCTCTCGGCTGATTGTTTTGATTTCAATTTCTTTACATATATTGTGATAGTACTATTGTTTACCAGCCTTGCATCTTCGTTTTATTTCTTTGTTGAGGTTTTTTTAAACTAGCTTTACTAATACCAATACTTATGAAGAAGCGCATTGACAGTAAAATCATAAATATAGTGCAAACATTATATTGGAACCAAAGTACCATAGTTCAAATTGATGAGCAACACTCAGAAGAAATGAAGATCTGTAGAGGAGTTAGACAGGGATATGTTTTATCACCACTTTTGTTTAATTTATATTCTGAAGAAATTTTCCAAAACACGCTCAATAATATCAAAGCGGGAGTTACCGTTAACGGAAAATTAATTAACAACTTACGATATCCAGACGACACTGTGATCATAGCAATGAGCACAGAAGATCTACAGCATCTTATCGAAAGCTTAAGTATGAATAGTGCTGAGATGGGAATTACTATAAACGCTAAAAAAACGAAGTACATGCTAATTACAAAAAGACCACAAAATATCAATGGTAACGTGATAGAACAAGTAGAAACATATCAGTACTTGGAACTTTGATCCATGAAACCAATGATCATATTGCAGAAATAAACAGGCGAATGGAGATTGCCAGATCAGCATTTATACTAATGAAGCCACTCCTATTGTGCAAAAATCTAAATTTGGAGATCAGACTACGTACCATTCGCTGTTATATATTTTCAATATTATTATATACTATACTTGTACATTAAAAAAATGCAATTTAAGAAGAATCGGGGCTTTCGTACTCTGGTTATTTCGCAGAGTATTAAAAATACCTTGAACTGATAGAATAACAAATAAAGAAGTACTGGAGAGGGTTGGTAAAGAAACAGAACTGATCACCACCATACAAACCAGAAAACTCGAAAACCTAGGTCACTTGATGAGGGGACCAAAATATGAAATTTTGAGACTTCTAATACAGGAAAAGATTCAAGGAAGAAGATCTGTTGGCCGAAGGCAGAACCCATGGTTGAAGAATCTACGTGATTGGTTTCAATGCAAATCGATTGATTTCTTTAGAGCAGTAAGTTGAAAATAAAAATAGCCATTATGATTGTCAACCTCCGTAGGGAGACGCACTTTGACAAAAATTTCTTCTACTCTCAATTATCTTAAGAGTTTCATCTGTTATTTAGTGTTTTTTCTGTTTCACACAATTTTTAGCTTTGGCCGATTAATGTTTAAGTTTAATACTCTCCTATATTTCTTGTGATGTACCCTTACGAATAGAGGGCATACTTTTTTGCACTTCTTGGAGAAGGTTCACAGTAAGACATTGGCACATGGACAGTCTCCGAAAGAGTAGAAGCAATAACCCAAGCACATAGTTCAGGTGTATGATTATAAGACAGGCAATTCGTCTATTGTTTATGTACAATTATATATGTAGCTTTTCAGCTATATATAAAAGGCTGTATATGCTGTTGGTCACGATAACTCAAATATAAATATAGTAACTTAAGTCCTTAAGTTACCGTGACCAACCACCTATTCTGTTTCTGAATAAGCTACATATAATTCTAGCGGAACGTTGCGTCAATGCATATGGTCTTCAAAACAAGACACGATCCAAACATGGGAGGCAAATAATTAATAATTCTGAAAGTCGTGGAAGTCTTTCATTTCATCTCAGAATTTCATTTAATGATCAGCATTTAGAGATAATATAGAAATAAGGGAACCGGCAGATAAAGTGTTAAGATTTGTCTTAAGGAAAAATCCAGTACCATATTCTATTGTAACCACAACATTTAAGATAACTTTTATCACACATTTTAGTGATATTTTTAAATTACATTACCAGTAAACAAAAGTGACCTTATCCTCTCAATGTCACGGCAACAACTCGGATTATTCTGAAATCACCTTAATTTAAAGTCTAGCTGTGATTGGTGAACATATTAAATAAACTGTACAAAATCGGAAGCAAAGAAATAGAAGTTGTCAGTTCTATCAAAGAACACTAAGGCGATGGGTTCGTTAACTTTATCAGTGATATTTTTATCGTTAGCGGCTTTTTCAGTCGCTGAAAATATTGTTGTGTGTAATTACGAGTCAAAGTCCCATTTAAGAGATGGTAAGATATAAATTTTATTTGTATTAGTTTTTTATTTTTAGCAGTTACGTATTATGAAGCTTGTTATAAATTCTGTTAGTGACACAAGTTGTCTTTACAATTTATTATTGGTTCTAGGAACCGTGTAAGCCTTTTTAAGAGATCGTTAGCTTAAATTCTACGAAATTATTATGTAATTTTATCATTTGCATTAAATACGCGTTAAACTTGTTTATATTTACCTTGAATAAATGCAATATTTACTGTAATTAAATCATTTGTTTCGCACCTCGACCGTGATCTCAATTTTATTTTTTCTTTATCATACCGATACCGTAGAAAACATTTGTCAATAACTTAGACAACTAAATATCTTATTTACGAATGTGCAGTCGATTCTCTATATTACCAATTTATATTTAGAATGTTAACAATTATCATTATAGTTGGTCACTTGTAGAATGTTGCACGAAGTAGAGATCTATTTTTTTTCCAATGATATTACCTAAAATAGATGTTTATTGCTTTCTGTGCTTTTAATGCTTGTACATTTTCGTTTAAAAATACTAAGTATCTGGAGCATCCAACAGTAGTCTGCTATCATTGTTGTACTCCATTTTACTTGGAATCTTCTTTACAGCTCTATCTTGGATGAAAACGTTCTGCTTATTCTTTACCTACAGCCCCAAATTCTTAGGACAACTGTCCCGCAGAAAGCGTCCCTTCAGACTAACGAGACAACCCAATCTTGAAAAGGTATTCTTCTGAATATATTCTTGTAATCAGGATTTTGATTATTGCCAAAAATGGCTCCATAACATACTTAAATGCGAACCAATCTTCTCTCTGGAGATCTGTTGTTGTGTGGGAAACTCTTAATCCGCTAGAACTCTTCTGGTATCTAGCACAAGAAATATGGCTTCTTTCAATTTCACCTCAGTAAGACCTGGAACTTTTTAACAAATGATTCGCAAAGTTCTCAGCATTTTTGGGGGATATTTGACAAATTGTTTCGTAAGACATTATTTGAAGGGAAGAAAAAATAATTTTTTTCTGGTTCTACCAAGTTTTCTTGCGAAACATTGTTTTTTTCCAAACGTAAGCATTCTTAACTCCCGATTCTCCATTGACTAGTTTCAATCTTGACTATTCCATCTTCTTCTTCAAGTGCCATCTCCGTGACGGAGGTCGACAATCATCATAGCTATTCGGACTTTTGAGACGGCTGGTCTGAAAAGTTTATTTGATGTAAATCCGTACCACTCTCATAGGTTGAGCAGCCACGACCTTATACGCCTCACTACGCTTATTTTTCCTTGGATCTTTCCCTGCATAATCAGTTGGATCAAGGTGTATTTCTCTCCACGTTATGTCCGAGATATTCCAATTTTCTTGTTTTAATTGTATTTAAAATTTCTATTTCTTTATTCATCCTTCTCAAAACCTCTTTGTTTGTGATGTGTTCTGTCCACGATATTTTCAGAATTCTTCTATACATTCACAGCTCGAATGATTCCAGTTTTTTCATTGATGTTGCATTCAAGGTTCAAGATTCCAATCCACAAAACAAAGTCGAAAAAACATAGCAACTCGTCAACCTAACTCTTAGTTCCAATTTTAAATTCGTTGTACATAGCAGTCTTCTTATTTTGTTGAAATTTGCTCTAGCCTTTTCTGATTTTGATCTCCTGAATGTAATCATTGTTCCCAGATATGCATATTTGTCCACTTGTTCGACGTTGGTTCCGTTTATTAGAAGATTCTCGTTATTTCTTTGAGTTTTCAATATTCTCATAAATTTCGTCTTATTGACGTTCATTTTTAGCCCGTACTCTTTTCCATACTCCGCTATTCTGGTCACCAGTCTCTGAAGATCTTCAATATTTTCGGCTAAGATCACAGTGTCGTTCGCATATCTAATGTTGTTAATGGGAACTCCATTTACCTTTATTCTAGCTGTTTCACCCACAAGATCTTTTTTCAGGATCTTTTCGGAGTAGGCATTAAAAATAATTGGCGACAACACGCATCCCTGTCTCACTTTACGTCTAATTTCAATTTCTTCTTCTCTGGTATTATATAATCAAGATTTATTCGTCGATCGGATAGCCAAGCAAGCTGCGCGGCTGGCTTCTCCTTCGCTTCAATGCGAGAGATGTCAGTTCAATCCCTAGCTCGGTGTACAGAAAACAAAAAGGCTAACGCAGCAGTTTAATATTCTAAGTGAATCTGCGGCTTAGTCTAGAATATGCTGGTATCTGATCGGCCTATGGTGGAGCAGTACGGCAAAAGATAAGGGCTTGCGGTTCGGTGATACTCCTCTATAGATCCCTACCGGAAGGGAGTGTGCCGCCTAATATATATATATATATATATATATATATATATATATATATATATATATATATATATATATATATATATATATTATGTATATATATATGTATATATATATTATATATATAATATATATATATATAATATATATATATATATATATATATATATATAATATATATATATATATATATATATCTAATCAATATTTATGAGAAGTTTGGGCTCCTCATAAAGTTTGCATTTAAGAAGGTCCTTCGAAACTGGTTTAAGGGTAAAAAAGAAAACGTTCCACTTTAGGGTACTACTTCTGCTCGTGTGATGTCAAACTGTTCAACACAAAATCAAAGGATTCCATTTCAAACCCAAATCTTCCCTCATCTATTCGTCCCCTTTCTCATGATGCAGAAACACCTGTGCTAAAATCCTCGATTATGTTAGGCGAGATAGCAGAATCAGATGAAGTGAAATACAACTTCAGGACTCAGACTTTGCAAATAACACTAGACCAAAATTATTGTTGTCTCAGGTAGAAATTAATGATTTGGTAAGAAATCTGTATCTCCTCGAATGTACTGCTTGGATTCTGATCAAAGAATAAAAACTATACTACTCATTAATTATTCGTGAATAGAATTTTGTGCCTTATTTCTTTAAAAACGAAAATTTAGTTTATTGTAGTGGTATCAAAGGTTTTATGCTTCAATTCAAAATTCAGCATGAAATTACTTAATGGCGTGTCTTTAACGATTCATCGAAGCTCAGCTCAGATTGGCAATCCTATGAGCATTCAAAGTTGAAGGTCGTGGGATAAACTAATTAACGTATCTCAGCGACAAATTAAGCAATCTAGGCCTAATACGGCTCATTCAATTCGTAATTTTATGGGCTTGAATGTCATACATTTGACATAAATAAAAAAGCAATTTTGTAATAAATATTACGTTTTTTAATTTTGCCTTCATTCCTAATTGTTGGAATAACAAATAAATTAAATTGAACGTATATCAGCTCAAAGTGAAGGTCTTTTAGAGTACTTAAATAATCTATACAGAAATTTTTGTTGAATGAACTGGGGGATTGCTCCTGAGGTTCCCCTTTATAACCTAGGCCACATTACATAAATTCCTGGATTAGAGAGTACTTTTCCCCCACAGCCTGGGATATTGTTGTTTATCCATCAGGAAATTTAAATAGTTGAAGAAGAGGTAATAATCCATATGGCTCTAAAGCAACGCCGTTTAGACATTTTACTATAAATTTAATATGTTTACAAATTATTATTTAAAATACAGCTTAGGATTTAAATTATTATCTTTCATTATATTTAGATATATACACCTAATATATACCTGCGGGGCTCTTGTGGACTACCAAGTGTTGTGTTCCTATGAAAGTTTTAACACTAGAAAGGAGACATGTCTATGAGAGAAGGGTGCCATTGACAACACCCATAAAAAAAGAAGAAAGGGAAAGATCAATGGAAAGGTGGCAAGAAGAGTGGAACAATACGGAAGATGTTGCCCATTGCACCAAGATGCTCATCCCGAGCCTAAGGAACTGGATAGATTGCCTGTTTTAGTGCGTATCTTCATATATTCAAAAAGACAGATATTTGTCTCGCCTGTACTGCGAGTATTCCAACACTGTTACTCACACAATGCTGGAGTGTAATAGATATACGCTGGAGAGAAACATAATGTATAGAGAAATAGGTGCGAACCCTGTGACTGTGAGAGACATGATCGTGAATATGACGACAAGTAAGGAGGGCTGGAATAGTGTTTACAATTACATCCGAACGGTAATTAAAAAAAAAAAGAAAAAGAAGAGAAACACCAACCAGACCAACGACAGAGATAAGATCTAGATAAGAGTAAAAAGAAAGAAGAAGAAGAAAAATACCAACCGGACCAACGAGAGAGATAAGATACATAAGAGAAGGGAGTGTTCCAAAAATGTCGTCAGCCTTACAGCAGCCATCCCACTTTCGGAGTACGGTACGTGCTATAGTCAACTTGGCACAAATAGCAGATGGTAAGTTTAGTTGGTAGACAGGATAACAGATAACTGAATATTTGTCACTGCTATCTTTAGTACTTTAAATTAAACTTAAACCCAAATTTTAAGGACTCAACGTGGAGGTAGCATAAAAAATATCGGTGCCCAACCAACACTCCCACCACGAAAATTCTAGGTGCGCCACTGTATGTTGCTTTAGTTTAATTTATTTGTTACAATTTTCTTCAAGTTTGTAGAGCGTATTTTGAAATAAAATGCACACGTCACCATAATCTAGAAAAACCCCATCAGTATTAAATAGAACATTTCTGATGAAAAATATTAATAATGAACAACAACAAATAATAAATATTTTGAATATATTTATTGAAATTAGAAAAACTTGGTTTGTTTAAGTAAATATTGGACTTTTAAACAACTATTTCACCAGAAATAATAATCATAAAGCGTAAAAAAAATTGGATTAGATAAATACAAACTTTTTCGATAAGTAATATAAATAATAACATGCTGTCGAAAATAATAAAAAAGGAAGTTAATTATTCTTGATCTTATTTGTTTAAATCTTATTTTTCTTTCTTCTCCATTCGACCACAAACAAGATGTTATCAACTTAATAACTACTTGTGACGTAACAATACCCGGTAATAGTGAGAAAATTT